CGGGGTCGTTGCTACCGTGGGTTCGCCAGAAGGCATCCAACCGGTATGCCTGGCTTGAGTGGGTTATCAGCGGAAACCTCCCTCTTTCATTTGTTGAATTGGAATCCACGCGAAGTTTCGTATTGGTTAAAAAATCTATTTATCGCTAATTTCTAACACTTTGGGTACTTTGTGTTACATACACCAAGTTACCCCCGGTGTGTCGCAACACACTGCGGGCCAACATGGAGAACGTCACCAAGGCGGTGGAGAAGAAGATCGGCGACGAGATGCCTGACAAGTTCGGGCTGCTGCTGGACTGGTGGTCCCATGGGACGGAGCACTACCTAGGTGTCTTCGCGTGCTACGAGACACCTCGGGTCCGCAGTACCCTCTGCTTTCTCTGGCACCGATTGTCGTCGACTCTGCTGGTCGATTCGACGCCGAGACGCACATGGCTGCGCTGGCTGCTTTTCTACCTTTTTTGGGAAGGAACTATCTAACTGCATCTTTTTGGTCGGGAACAATTGTGCAGTGAACAAGCGCCTCGCTCGGCTCATGGGCATCCACCTGGTCGGCTGTGCCAGCCACCGGCTGAACCTCGCAGTTCGGACACTGCTCGAGCCGCATGAAGCCAATATGGAGCAAGTCCAGTCTCCCATGAAGCGCCTTCGGACATTGACTCAGGCAGCCAAGCTGCGGTAAGCATTTGTTTATTTTTATATACTACTTATATATGAAGTTTGAAGACGTCTCTCAGGTCAAAGCTGCGCCAGGAGACGAGGTGGGGATCGACCTACGCTCTGCTTGCACGCTACTTCGATCTGCGCGAGTTTATCAGCGCTGATGACGAAGACCTCGCCGAGTTGATGCCATCTCCTGCCGCGAACCGGCGATTGAAAGCGCTATTGCTCGAGTTGGCAGATGTCGAGTCGGTTTCGATGAAATTTCAATCCGTGGAGCTTAACCTGTTGGATGTGCGCGACCTACTTGACGGGCTGCTAGAGGTAATACCAAGCTTCCATCGCTATTTTTTGGGTGTGAGTTTACTACATTTGGTGGTTTGCTCATTTTACTAATATTTTTTGCAGCCCCGAACGCTGACATCGTCGCTGCTCCCGAGTTTGAGAGCGCCGTGATCAAGATCCTATGGGACAAACGAAGCAGCTTTCGCTAGGTGAAAAGGCTGCGCTAAGACCGTTTGAACGACAGACCACCATAGCTGCGACCGCGGAGACAACCAAAATGGGGTTTGCGGACAGGATTTTGAAGCGCAGGAAGGTTCAAGATGACACGAGCGCGTACGTCCAGCTGGATGCCATCCCGTCGACGTCCAATGCAGCTGAACGGCTGTTCAGCATGGCGCGAATGGTGCTCCGGTACGAGAGGAACCGTTTGTCACCGCAGATGCTGGAGATGCTGTTGTTTTTGAAGGTGAACAGCAAGTACTGGGACGTCCCGACGGTTGATGAAGTGATCTAGGTTTCATACGCTGCGAACACGACCTCACTCGGTGAACCTACTAGTTATTTATTTGTTGATCTTGGTACTTCACTTTATTTATTTGCCAGTCCTTGGAGTTCCTCGCCGCTACTTATTGTCTATGGAGATGGAAATAGGTAACAATCGTATTTTG